AAAAAAAAATCAAGACCACCGAACCACATTCCTGTCTCATCTAATTGTGGTACAGTACTAATAAATAGGTTATATTTGCCCCTCAACATTTCGATTCCTGAATAGAAAGGAAAAGGTGTTTATAATGTATTTCTCCCTCAGGCTCAACATTTGACAAACATTAAAAAAAAAAGTCAAGACCACCACAGTATGATATTATGTAGTTTTTAATGTTTCATCCATGCTGCTGTCTTATCTTGACGGTAGCCTACTGACAAAAGGCTACATTTCTCCCTCGACATTTGGGTTCCTGAAAGGAAGAAAAAGGAAAAGAATAATTTGATCTAAAGCTAGGCAAACTAGGCCTACGGTACTAAAATTGGGACCGCTAACATTACCGTAGGTACATTAATTAATCCCGACCCGGTCGTCCTCGGATTCCTCTGAGCGTATCGAGAGCGTCCCGGCGTCTATTGAGGGCGCTCCGGGCGTCTCTGGTTTCTCCGGGCGTCACTGGTTTCTCCGGGCGTCACCGGGCGCTCCGGGCGTTTTTTAGTAGGACCGCTAGCAGGGGCGGATTTAGGGGGGCCCCTTTAGGGAGGTAAAAAAAAAAGGGGAAAAAAAGAAAGAAAATGAAAAAATGATAGCCCAGAATGCCTCAAATGTTATTTTCGGGCATTTAAAACACACAAATTTCGCGGGGACATTCCCCGGACCCCTTAGGACGGTGTTGTCTCGATTAGCCCAACTTTCGGCCCCCTTTCTGCTCCTCCTTTTGGACATCTCTGGATCCGCCCCTGCCTAGCTAGGCCTGCATCGCAGGTGCGGGAACAGAGTTGTTTGTACACGAATCAGCAGACACAATCTAGGCAGTGCAGTTCAGCGGTGCGTAACCAACAAAAATATGATTTTGTGCACGCCCACCACTGCGTACTGTAGGTGGACGTGGTTTAACGGAGAACGACCAGTCGAATACGGCCAATGATCACATTTAATTTTCAACAGCATACTATTAACATACATTTTTATTTAAATTCAACACCAATATTTTGAATTTATATAGCACATCTTGTACAGCAGTACACCTCTTTGTAGACAGCGTTATGGCCATTTCGCATTAATTTGCTTTGGTGGTTGCTACGGCAAATGCACATATGGCTTATACATGCGTGCGTTGAGAATGATACAAAAGTATCTTTCAGTTCGGTCTAGTATTCATCTGTTTCATCGATCCATAGCCGAGCACACCTTGTAAGTAGGCTTAGTTTTATAATAAACATAACTTAATTATAATATAATCTTATTGTTTATATGATCGCTTTAGCATGTATTATTAATATAAGCCTCGCATGCTAATACATGATATGAGGACCAATGCTTAAGTCTTATTACAAGTACAGTAATTGTTAATATGATTTAGTTAACTGTGAGATTACCGTTATTTATTATCTATTATACTATTCTGTAGTTCAATCGTGACGTTGGTTAGACAGCGTATTTAACGTATCATTACATTGTTAGACGGCGTATTATATGTATACCATTGGTTGGATGTCGTACGTATTGTAGGCTTTGGTTTATGCTACTATGGTTTATATTGGAAGCAATAAAGAAACCAGCAACGCATTGAGAAAATCGGTCTTATTGTTTTGTTGGGGTCGAAACAGACAGGCCACAGCATCAGAGTATAGTATCTTAATACAAAAATGTTTTCAAACAGGATAAAAGGATACTTTTACCTTTAATATATCAGTAGCAACCATTTAGTTAAATATAGTATTATAAAAGCTAAAATGTAACATACACTGATCATACAGGACTTTAAAACCAATTAAAAATGTAATTATTAACTTTTGCAGTTGATCTGAATATATACTGTATAATTAATGATGTACAGTGTCAATAGTATAATAATGATTTCTGACAAAGTGGAATACTGTATCATGAATAATTCGCACTTCAGTTTTCCTTATAGCAAATTTCCATACATTCATGTCTATCTGTGGGTGGATGCTTTCCTATTCCATTCATTGTTATTATCAGGAATTACATTCTGATTTTTTATGTGAGAAAACGACGATGACAGTGACAATATAAAAGGGTAGACGGGTCTACATCATGCTTTGACCAAAATGCCTTGCTAGCCTTGAAAGAAAGCCTAGAATAGCCTAGGGTTTTTTTTTTGTTTTTTTTTTTAGAATGTAGGGGGGGGGGGGGGGGGTACAGTAGGGGGGGCTATCTGTCTCTTATACACATCTAGATGTGTATAAGGTGGTACAGTAGGGGTGGCTATTCACCCTCTTAGATCTACCACTGAATATATTTTTCAGTTGCAAATACTGTATCATTAAAATTGTATAATGATAATAATCCATTCATACTTTCCAGTACTTTATGACAAACTGATAAGTAGGCTGCCTAAAATATATTGAATATTTAAAATATTTTGCTATATATTAAATTTGCTATAGTTGTAATATATCTCATTGTATTGTTAGGTATAATATATTAAATTTTCAACATAAAACATGCTTCTTTATTTTACAATTGCTTTTTATATTGCACATCTAAATGCTGCAAACTATTCTCTTCTTCATTTACCTTTCTTAATATATGCACATAACAAACTACCTGTATACCACTTTAGCACAAACTCCTGTAGACCAAACATCATATGGGAAATCTACTCAGTGACAATCATAACTTACATTTCTGTGATATTTTCTTTTAACTTTTGTTTTTTTCAAATTTATGTCAGGTGTGGGTCATTTACGCACAGCAGTTGTGTTCCATCTGCATTTATTGGGTCAGGATATTCAATTTGTACAGCATGATGATTTGTATGAAACGCAACAACCTCTTGCATAGGCAGCCTAGCTAGGCTTTCAATACATAGACCTGCAGTATTAAAAAATAAGCTGCCTAGGCCTACATTACTGCTGAATATTTTCCTGATAATCAGGCTATTACTGTACAGTACATACATATCAATTCATTAGAAAAATTAATACAAGGCCTAGGTCCTGAGATCAGGTGTGATCCATTGACCGCGGTATGCAGCTGTCGAGTCCGAATATCATCTTAAAGTGTTCAAACCCTAATGCATTGGAGAAGATTCGACCTCCGAATACACCTAGGGTTAGGCCTACCCCGACCGGACCCGATTATTTGTGTAGGCCTTAAATAAATGAAATTCTACCGTTGAGCTGTGTGCTTGTTTACCCTGTTAAAACAAGTTTGATTCAAACGTAGGCCTAGGCACTTTTCTTTCGATACTCATGGCTTTGGAAAAGCTTTTTCTTGTACCGCATATTCACATCGACGACACTTTTCACACTGCCCTAACTCGTGCGTTTTGTGTGGAAAACATGTTTGCCTAACAGTGCATGTACTGTATGCCTTGTTCTGATGCAGTCGCTGATCATTTCTACTGTGCAATAAAAAGCCAATAAATTTATCATTCTAAAAACACCAAACATTAATAATTAGAAGAGAGTTTTAAATTTTAGTAATATTGAATCAAGGAACGATTGAGGCATACAATAAAAAGTCAAAAACTTAGAGATATTTCACACAGCATGAGCCTAACTTACTGTACTGTAGGTTGAGGGCGAGCTACTGTAGTTAAAAGTTATGGTATATTTCAACTTATTCACATGATAAACTCTTGAAATAATTATAACATTTGTGCGAGTCAAGTGGAAGTGGTTAAGGCAGGTGTGCTGCCACCTACAGTATAGTCATAATATCGGAGCTGGTTCAAACAGCACGCTCACCTGGTTCTGGAGGTGGAACAAGTTATCTCGGATAAGGAACTACAAGAATCCAGTACATCTTCAAGGCGAGTAGTGGGTTACCCCTGTGTAGTAGTCCATACAGCCCCTGTTGTGGACAGCGAGAGTAACCGGTAGTAGTTTTCCAGCCAGCCTAGACACGAAGAGACCTAGGGGAGAAGGAAGTTATTGTGTAGAGCTACTGTATTTTGCAATTTGAGAGCACTGATCTCCATTAAATATCGCTATAAAAATGATGTAATATAGTATGATGAATTAAGGGTCTAGCGCCAGTAAATTGACTTCAACTTAAATGAAATTATACACCGAAGTTTTAATGACGATGTCAATGATTTATAGAATGATTTTAAGACAAAATGTGCTTGAAAAAAAAAAACCCATCTCAAAAAACTCTGGATTACGCCAAATTTGTTAAAACTGATTTTTAAAAAAATGGGCTTAACAAAGGTAGCTCACAGTTCGAAATACTGTAGTGGAGTAGAAAGAAACTCAAATGTGCAATAGGAAAGTCATACGTAGTACAGTTTAATAGAAATCTTGCACGTACAGTAAGCGTGATGATCACAGAAAAGCTTTTGTTTGTACTGTACTTCAGGAGAAACTTCTATTGTTAACTCATTCACCATATGGTTTAAAAAAAAGCGATTTTTAATCGATTATTTCTTTCAAGTAGAAACAGACCTGCAAGGTTGCAGATGTGAAATTGCCCTTGTTAATATTATTTAGAATATGTACTCACAGAATCAATAAGTGTGCTATTACTGTAGTTACAAAACTACGTCTAAAACCAGATTGGCAAGAGTTCAAAAAGTTTAAATACAGTAGTAGTAGTATAGGGAGTCATGACAGTGATTGTGGGCCATCCTTTAATCTGTTTTACACTAGGAAAATTTGTGACCTAGTTGTATTGAGAAACAAGTAGACCGTGAATTTGGTGTGAATTGGGTTTTTGTGTAATAAACAAAGTGTAACTATTAATCTTACTATTCCTGAAGTTTGAGTTTAAAATTCCAACTGGCCAAGGTAAAATTTAGCCATTTTCGGATGGGAATTTATATTTTATTTTTTGTAATTTGCAGATTGCTAATAAGGAGTATTTGTATTTTGTATTTGTATTGTAAGAATGAATAGAAATCTGCTGGAATAACGGAATTTTTCTTAAAACTTGGTTTTAAGAAAGTTGATATAATTATTCAAATTCAGTAGTTTGAACTGTTTCTACTTTTTGCCAAGCAATTAAATGGAACTCAGAAAATGGACTTACACTTTCGATTCACTTGAATAAAATTGCCTAGTGGAAAACGGGCTTATAGTGGCTTACCGTATACAGTACAGTAGGCCTAGGGCCTAGATAGGTGACCGGGTTTGACAAATTAATACCAAAATATAATGGAATTAACCAGATAATTAAATTGAATTGATATACCCAATAATTATAAATATTTTAACATAATTCTGGAAGGTTTATACAGTAGCTGTCTAGCCTAAATAGTAGTGAAAATGATTAAATTATTTAAATTTAAAGTTAATGCATAGATAGGTGGCTTACACAAGGGAGCAGAGTTCTTGGAAATCTTTTAGAGCTTCTAAAAAGTATTGCAATTTTTCAGAAATTCAATATACAGTATTAAAATGTCCCTTTTGCGAACATCGATTTTACGAATAGTCAATTTTACGAATGGTTTTTGCCCCTGATGACGTCATCATCATCAGAGCAGCTTAGCTCAGTTGGCTAATCTGGTGGAGCCACTGTTTGTGCGCTGAACCGTGGAGATCTGTAGGTCCCCGGTTCAATTCCCATCGCTGCCTCTCCTTGTGTTTCAGCTAGAGGTCCGTGTGCATTTATGGCCCATGTGCACGTTAAAGAACACAGTACAGAAGAAAAGAGTAAGGGATTGTCTCCCGGTGTACTGTCCAATCACCACCAGAAGGACCCCACTGGAAATAAGTCTTCATCTAGACTTTCGTGGGCTATCCTTGGTGGTTACACCAAATAAATCCTATCAAATTCATCATCGACCAATTATTACCGTAAAATAAGTCTGATTGCGCACTTTTTACGAAGTAATGATACATATTTTTTTTAATGAAATCAAGTTTGTTGTACAGTATTTATTTTTTATTTTCTTCCATAATAATCACTATAATGTAATAAACCTAACCAGAACAACAAACTACCAAATCAAGTTTCGTCGGATTGAGCGCATGTGTTACGATGACGAACGAGTGTTGAGGTCAGCAACTTATTGACAATTGATATCGTGAATGCTAGATATGATCGCAAAATGCATGTAAACAACACAATTCAGCGATCTAACAACTAGAAAGAACACGATAGAAAGGTCTATAAAACATACAGATTTTTGAATAAGAGTTAAAATAATATTTTTTTAAGTGGAAGAATGCCAGCGATTAAAATAATTTGGTTTTTATCGAAGGTAAATTCAGCTAGGCTCTAGCGCGGTATACCATGCTGCTGCACTGTTGGTTATTGCTAGGTCTGGCCGCCGTCAGCCTTTCGGCACTCAATGTCAGGTCATAGCTAGGGAAACTGACACCCGATCTAGACAAATACAAATTTTTCAATTTACAAACACCCCTTGGTACCAAGGGGTACGTAAAATGAATGTTTTACTGTAATATTATCAAGATTATATAGATTACAGTAGCAGCAAAAAGGAAGTATATGCTGCACAAGAAACTATAATACTGTACATATTTTTTTTTTCCTAAGCCTAAGTTGATGTACTTTTTGTTTCAGAACTTCAGGAAGCTATATGCTTTGGTAAACGAAACCTTAAAATATGCATCAATTATTGATGAAATCCTCAAATGTACCCGACTTCTTGAGCTTGAAAAATGCCTGTCACAATCTCTCGCCCAAATTTATCTTTACGAATTATTATTTGGGAAAGGACTGCATGGCAACAAAAAGGCAGTAAAGGCTGTGCTTCGGCATAAAACATCTCTCAATGCCGCCCTTGCAAGGTTGAAGATCAAGGCTAAAGTGTCAAGGAATGAAGATTTGTTGGCAGAGGAGGTCAAAATGTCAAAAGGTCAGTTAGACGCGGGGTTTAAAGATACATATTTACTGTTGCGGGGGTTTAAGATGCAAATTTTCTGTTGATTATCCATTGTGGAGTGGAGTTGAATTGCTCAGTGGTTAAGATGCTTGCCTTCTGATCTTAGGGTCCTGGGTTCAATTCATGTCACAGCAGCACTTTTTCTTACACTAAAAACAACTCACTATGAAGCCTCATAAAGAGACTTAGTTTAAAAAGCATCATTTACTTCCTGTAAGTGACGAGTGTACTTGCTGTTGGATGTGATGGAAATTAAAAAAAACTGTGCTAATAATAATATTTTATTATTTATTTAATACATATTGTATACTTTAGTAATTCCAAGATATGTGCGAGTCAACACTTTAAAAACATCCATGGATGATGTCATTCAGCATTTCACAGCGATTGGTTACAAGTGCATTTTAACAGTGAATGAGAAAGAAGAAACTTGTAGCAGACTAACCGCTGATGAGCTCAGGTATTTTTACTAATTAAAAACTGGTCAATCATGACACATCTCTCATATTGATTCTTTGGCTTTAAATGTTAATTAAGAACATAAAATTTATTATATTATTATTTCTTGTGAATTTTTTTTCAGTTTTAATAATTACAAAATATTCTAGTAGACATACAATTACAAAACAGCAGTTGGCTTTACTAGGCCCTTGCCTAGCTTATTTTATTCTATTTTGAGACACAAATTGCAAGCAATTCAAGGATGCATTCATTCATTGTGTTCAAATATAGATCATCATCATCAAACTTATTTAAGTATTGCAAAAAACTTTTAATTATAGCTATCACAGTCATGTTTCGACATATTGCAATTGCGGCCTGGATACTAACGCCAACTTGGCAGTCTTTGCCATGGCCCTTATGGGCAATTAAAAATAAACAAGGCTTCCCGCAATCCCACAAGAATGCAAAATTCCCCAGAAACTAACTCATCTTCCTCAAATTCATTATACTGTATTTACATGTCTTACTGTATTATCAACTGCAGACATTGAGCTTCCTCCATAAAAGAAGCTAAAACACATGCAAACATTACGTGCAAGTACGAGAAATAGCCTGTCATTTTGAAATCAAATCTAGGTGATGCCTACTCTCGTTGTGATCTGTGCGGTGTTGACTTTCTATCTAGTCAAGCACCGCGGTATTGCTGATGTAAAGCGTTATTGTGAGTCAAAACAGTTATATTTTACAATCCAATCACATTGGTACCATATGTCTTAGGGAAAAAATATTTTTTCCGATGTCGATTTAACATACTCCACTCGCATTGCCAATACTCCTCTCAAAAGTTTTTCTGACTGCTCTTGATGACCTTGTAGGGTTGGCATGCCTGCAAATGTCTTCAAAAGTCAATTTTAATTTAATTTCAATGTATTCAGAATTCGATTAGCAACAAAATAGCTGAATTACATCAGATTTACAATTTATTACAATTTTTGCACTAAAATGACAACCAATAAAACCGAAAACAATTAAAAACACACTAAGAACACATTTGTTTAAAATTTTTTAGGTAAAAAGTTATTACATGTAAAAACTAATTAATAATTTTTGAAACAATACCTTGAATTTACATATTGCAAGTATAAATTCTGGTAGGCCAACCTGTAAACTGGGAAGATCAGATTACAGTAAAGGTTAATTATTATTAAGTTCTACACTTGATATGTCGGTATTCACTAGTGTTTCTAAGAAACATGTCGTGTTCTTTATCATGCTTAAACCAGTTGGCATACAGTATCTAACTGATTTAGAGCATTTGATGGCAACTTTTTTACATAGATCTACAGTATACGTCTTTTCTCAAGGGACTCATCAAGTTTAGTATTTGACATTGTCAACACTTCAACATAGGTAGTGTAATCATATCCCAAGATAATTTGGAGAGCATGCTTTTGTACCCGCTGTAACTGGTTAGACGGGGGTTTATTTATACCAGCGTGCCAGACTGGTCCACCATACTCTAATACTGGACAAATGTCCTGAGTAAATTTATACAAGATCAGTGACAGGCAGTTTAATCTTTTTCTCAACATATAGAAGCGTTCACTACCCTTACCCATTTAACTTGGTGGTGCCATTTGAGGTCATCTTGTAAATGGAGGCAAAGTATTTTTTAATGCTAGACAACCTGGGGTCACAGTCAATGAAAATGTTTAATCTGGGTAGGGGATCTCTCTTAAAACATAACTGCATTATCTTACAGTACATTTACTAGTGTTAAGTTTAAGGAAATTAACATTGTTCCAGTTTTCAAGTATTTCGTTATCTTTATGAGTAGAGCTAAAGGTCTCCAGCTTAGTGTGTTTTAACAATAGTCAGATCATCATCATACTTGAAAACCTCTGAGGAATTACAATTGAAAAGTGTATCATTAATAACACAGTGTAAAATAAGTGGGGTCCGACCTTGGTTCCCTGGGGGATTTACAAGTAAGCGAGTTCCAGTTAGTAGTTGCAGATTGGCATGAGACTCTTTGTCTCCTAGAAGTGAGAAAATCGGAGAAACATGGGATAATTTCATAGTGAACACCTAGTAGTTGTTGTAGTTTGGTAATCGCCAAAGTGTGATCAATGCAATCAAGTGCCTTTAACTGAAGTCTGTTACAGTGAGTTTACCAACTACATTTGGCTTGTCTAAAGCCTTTTTGCTGTACATCTAGGAGTTCAATGATTAGTGGAGGACCATTTAAGGCTACCATACAGGTTGCGGAGATATCGTTAAGGGCCCATTCGGTAATGAAATATTCGGAAACAGGCTCGTAGCCAGGTTCTTCCAAAGAGGGGGGGGGTTTCTGGGCGTGAGGTCCACGGTCGAAGCCCCGGTGGGGTCGGCAAAACCTCCAAAGCAAAAGGATGTTTGTGAAAATTTTGTTTGAAAATGTCTGTGTCTGGGTGGGTCTGCAGTGCATTAGTTGGGTTGGAGGACTTATTTGGGAAATTTGAAGAGGGGGTTTCACCGAAAAAGATGGGGGTTTGCTAGAAAAGGGGATCCTCCCCCCCCCCCCATAAGGGCCTGGCAAACTTTAGCAAAAGGTGTTGAAAATAGTTAAGTGTGTTAAGACAGCTTATTAACTAGATCTCCTGGTAGTGGTTTTTTTCCAACTTGGAACCCCTTTAAATTGATAGTCATGCTTAATCAGTTAACTATTTTTTTTTAAACAGTGTTTTCCAGAAAGGACTTCTGAAAAGGCTTGAATCAAAATCATTTTGTGTTGATGTCCATTTGCCATTTCTTCTAGTGTTTCCACATGGATGTGATCTTCATACTGACCCCTTGTATCTGAAAGGTGATATTATTCTTCAGGATAAGGTAATGTAATTAATGCAGACCTAATTATTTTTTTAGTTGCATGAAATTTAGTAGCCATAATAATAAATGGTCTCGTAGTGTGTAATTGAAGTAAATAAATAATCGGTTAATAACACATTCACAACTATTGATATGATTTTATTTACAAGCTTTTGCTCCAATTAATGGTGCTTTATCAGGTTGTAGTCATGTGTCATTAAAATTTGCTTTTTTTTTAAAGTGTTTATTGTTTAAAGCGATGATAGAAGGAGACTCCTGAAAGTTTAATCAGAATGCATTCCTGAGCTTTAGAACATTAATAGTATTTTTTAACATTTTTTCCAACAGGCAAGTTGTATTCCTGCTCATGTACTTAACCCACCAGCTGAAAGCCATGTGATTGATGCCTGTGCTGCCCCTGGCAACAAGACAAGCCATCTTGCTAGTATCATGAATAACACAGGGTATGAAGAGTATTTTGTTATTTAACCATGACTGGTAAAAGCTTAATATACTGTGGTTTCGTTTTATTAGTTTTGTTTTAATTTTCAAAATAATTGTAAATTTACCAGATATTGTACTGTTTTTATTAATGCCATACAGTATGATAATCTTGTAACATGCACATGTTCCATTTAATTAATATTTTTATAAATTTTTGATATGTTGTGCAACTGATTTTACCTTTTACTTCCAGTTTTTTAAAAGTATTTCAAAATCTGTACCTCATTAACCGTTCCCAACATTTTTTATCAAACCCTCTTTGATTTGATTGTCAGGACAAGGCTTAATAACCAGGATTTGTGCTATTTGATTAATTAAAGGAAAATTCATAATTTTGAAGTTAAATGTAAGACTTTTTTTCCATTTTTCAGGAAAATATATGCCTTTGACTTGGATGTGAAAAGATTAAAAACATTGGAGAGGTTAACAAGTAAAGCTGGAGTCGGAAATATTGAAGCAAAACACAGAAATTTTCTAAAAGATGTCAGCCCAAGTGATCCGAAATTTCAGAATGTTGAGTACATTCTGGTCGATCCGTCTTGCAGTGGTTCTGGTATGGTAAACCGTTTAGACCATGTGACTAACAATACCCAATCAGAGAGCCAGGAGCGACTTGAATCTTTGGCATTATTCCAGGCGTCAATTCTAAAACATGCACTGTCGTTCCCAGCTGTGAAACGAGTTGTTTACTCCACCTGCTCTGTGCATAAAATTGAGAATGAAGATGTTGTTGGACTTGTATTGAAGGAATTTCCAGATTTTGAAATTACTAGATGTTTACCTCTATGGTGTAAACGAGGTTTAAAATCAACATTAGTTGGTGAAAACTGTTTACGTGCAGCACCTGCTGAAACTTTCACTAATGGATTCTTTGTGGCATTATTCAATAGAAAAGAAAAAAGTAGAGGTACATCTGCAGTTAAGTGTGAGGAACAAAATACCAAAAGAAAGAATTTGAAGAGAAAGATGGAAAGGAAGAGATCAAAGGAAGAAAAAATAAATTCAAGTGAAGCAGATGAGGCAGTAAGTTTAAAAGAAGGAGATGATATTAATCCAAAGAAGAAAAAGAAAAGAATAGTAAAATAAATTAATAAGAATGTATAGTCCTTTCTCATCTAGATTACTGCCTTGCGTTGCTTTCACATTAAAAAGATCTCAAACGTCTTCAGCTACTGAACTTGTTTTTAGGGCAGAAAATTTGAGCACAGGTCCCCATTTGTTTTCACGTCTTCACTGGTTGCCTACGTATTAAACGTATTAAATACAAAATTGCAACTCTCACATACAAGTGTCTATAGAGTACTACAGTGTTACGTCACGATACCATGTGATACTACAGACACCATTTTCTTCGCTGACAAACCATTGATCCCAATTTCTAACGTAATTATTGAGATGTATCTTCTTTTTTCTTTGTGAATTTTAATTGATGATTAAATGCGTGTTTGATTACTAATATAGTGCAAGCTTTTGTGTTTTTAGTACATTTTGATGGTAAAATATTAGATTTTAAAATGCCTATTCTAAGAAAGCCTATGAAGTCATTCAGGCGTAATGAACAAATGTCTGTTGACAACAGAGAGTGCCATGTGGCGTCGTGGCGACACAACTGTTGTACCCTATGGCTCTGAAGTAAGGATTTGGCAGGTATATAAACTAATACAATAAAAAGCGTTCCTTGTTGGCAGGTTAGTGGTTGGAAACTAAGTGGGTATTCACATTATTTTCAGTGTCTCAATATTTGAAAATAAAATGTTTCAATATTATATGTTGCTTGGATTCTGTGTGAAACATAACATGTGTAGTAAAAAGTAGTCCCTCAGTAAATTTTGGTGAAATCATTTTGAATTTTAAGTACATTTCTATATATTTGGCGGTCATTTTGAAAAATGTCCATAATTTGCATATAAGGCTCTGGCGCAAATGTCATTCAGGCTGAGGGTGACCAGAAGATGTCAATAAAGACATCTGACATGGATGACTCCTTCTAACAGTCCACTCCTCATGACATCATTTTTTCAGATTTTTTTTATACTACAAGGAAGAAATTTGCATGTGTTGTGGACGATCGAGTTGAGGGTGTAAATGTGAGGGTCATTTAAATTTCTGAGGTCCCAGTTTTTAATAGGTCTAAATGAAACTTTCTGTAGTCTAGTAAAGAAATGATTGAATTTCTGTGACAATCCAGAGTAGGGTGTGGATATGAGGACTCAAAGGAAAAAGTCCCTGACCAAATATTTAAAAAAACAAGTCAACTGATTCGAATGAAACTTTGGGGGAAGGTTTAACCAAGTTACAAGGAAGACATTGTATTGGGGACGATTCTGCTTTAGGGTGTTAATTTGGGGGTCATTTAAATTGCTTACATCCCAGTTATTAATGGATAAGAATGAAACTTGGCAGAATAGGTTTTCATGATCAAATGAAGAGATAATCAAATTTTGGTGACAATCAAGAGTAGGGTGTGGATATGAGGACCATTCATTTAAAGATAGACATTAAGCATACCGTTCATAAACAAGAATCAATTATCAGACGAGAAAATCGTTACGGATTAAAAATTACATACTATCCACCCAAAAGGTATTAATGATGATGAATATCATATCTGCGTTACAAAGCTAGTTCTCTACATTCCTGTTCTTAAAACGTTTGCATTTCAGGGTACATAATTTCATGTTGATAAACTAAAAAAAACAATATTCAAACGCGACGTCAGCAACACGTTAGGTTACACGAATACACTGCTTCATTCTTCAGTACAACAGCAGAGACCAGTAAGGTAAGATTGCATAGTCATAGGCATATGTAGGTGGCTTAGTCCGGTTTGTTCTTGTAAGCTTCACTATTTGCCTTTATTAAATTTCATATTAACTTTAATAACCAGCTTTTTCATATGTTTGTAGAGTATTTCAATAAAAACCTTGAAAGCAGTTAAGTTAAAAACCGTGCTAGACTAGAATATACGTGAAATACAGTAGAGTATTTTATTAATTTTAAACATTTAAGCAAGCAATATTAACATACAGTATTTGTTAACGTTAGTTTTAATAAAATATTGGCCTATATAAAAGTCTAGTTTCGTATTGTTATTCCATATATTTGCTGAAGAAGAGTGTAAGCGTTTTGCTACATTTAAGCCTCTATTCCATTTCTTCCGGATATGGATAAGCATCAACATCCGATGACTTCTAAAATACAGACGCGTACCTTCTGGGACAGTCGCGTCGAATTAGTTTTCATACAGTCGCTACATGCTATCGCCGACAGCTTTCGGTGATGCTGATTGGTCAGTCGAATTGGGGAGCCTTCCCGATTGCGTCGGGGATTGCAACGCTTACAGCACTGAAATCACTGTAGCGACAGTGTAGCGATTGTAAGGAAACCAAGCTTTGCTCACAACGACCTAAAGACTGTCCCTTACTTGATAAATCGCATCGGGCTGTGTTGTGTCAGTTCTACGTCAAGCAGGCTGCACAAAACGCAATTGTAACTGTGCCTTCTTTCTTTATTTAAAATACTGTAACCTCAGGCAGGAGATGAAAGATGTTTTACATTTATTGCTTCATATGACAACTGATATAAGTTCTGGTGTGCCACTATCTTCATCCTTCCTATATACTTTCATCATAAGTGCAAGCACCATTAACACGTCTAGTAGGAGGATTAATGCTTCGAGGCTTAACTTTATCAAAACGACTTCCAGCAACGTTAGAAAGTAAAATGCAACACGTAGCCGAATAATGCCTTGTGCTACTAAAATAAACAAGAACACCGTCGTTATATAACTTCAAAAAGTATAGATAAATATATAAGTTAATTTTAAATAACAATTTTAAAAAATACACATTTGCTACTTACAGACACTTAGTGTTCTGCATGCATTAGCACCTGAAAAATAACAATAAAATATCAATTACAATAGCAAAGACAATGGCAATGACAAAGCGGAAATAACATGACCAATAGGGTAACAATAATAGTAGTAACAATACTGTACTCGCGCGAATAAGCGCCCCCTTCTAATTTTAATAAGCGCCCCTCAATAATGTCATAAGATTTTCTTTTAGCAAGTCATTAATGCAGTCAATCCCGGGACTGTGGTTGTTTGCATGATTTGAGCTGCAGAGTGGAAATACATTCTTCTTAGGTCAAAATGAGGATATTTCTCTTGGACAGATGAGAGCTCCGATCTCTGGGACAGACAGTACCGTATACAGTATTTCCAACTTTACTCATTTTACATATTTGTCTATGCCTAGTCCTACTCCTCTTTTTCTTTTTCCGACCTTTAGCACATTCTCATCTGATTTTTCAAGAAAAAACACAATGATCCTGCCATCCAGCTAATCTCAATCGGCCGATGACCAACAAGATAACCACTACCCACCACCACTAATTGCATCTCTGCTATTTTGCTGTTTTATGTAAATATTCACGCATTCTTGTCATGAGCCTTGTTCTCTGGACGATTATCTTTTCTGCCTAACCACCATTCGTAATGTCCTTGAATAATCTTTTTTCATTCAAAAAGTGCATCTATTTCCATAAGCGCCCCCTCAATTTTCACTATGTTTTCATAAGCGCCCCGTCTAAATAAGCGCCCCGTTTGAATAAGCGCCCCTCAAAAAGAAGTGCAAAAATTGTTTAAGCCCCCGGGCCCTTATTCGTTCGAGTACGGTATCTGATAACTCAGTGCTTTATTACTCATTTTAAAAAATATTCACGGTATAAGAGACTATATGTTCACACTATTTTTGGAGCATCTCTTGTGCACAATTTGAAAAGTTTGCACAATCTGCAAATTGTGTAAGCTCTTCCTTGCAGTTCACCACACTATGCAATGAGATCGTTGGAGAGTTTTAAAATGCGCGACAATTGCAAACTGTTCAGGGTAGCCGCTGCACATTTTAATCGATTTGCAATTTTGGTGGGAGGTGGAGGGAGGGAATGCGATGAGGGTGGTTTATGAAAATGAAAAGTGGGTCAAAAGCAAATCACATCAAAATGCGAGACTTTAGGCTAGGCCCTATTGATACGTATACTTTCTTTTCAATCATGAAAGTCTGTGACGATATCTGTGCTCACTGTGCCATGTTTTAAATAATTATGTTTGTATATTGCGACTTACGTCTTTTTTCTCATCTTGCTATAATTATACTATTTATAAAACATGCAAAAACCGGAAATATATTGTACCCACATAGAAAAACGGTTTCTGGATCCTTTTCAAAATTCTTCTTTTTCCCAAACGTTAGAGGCCTATCTATAATAAAAAAAAGATTCAATAACCGAACATTGAAACAAAAAACAAAACAAAAAACAAAACAATAAAAAATCATAGGAAATTTTTAGGGTATATTTCTTAGAAAGAATTCGATCCAACTCGGCCACAAGTCCACTCGGCCACAGTCAACTCGGCCACAAGTTAACTCGGCCACAAGTCAACTCGGCCACAAGTTAACTCGGCCACAAAAAGTTTGGCTACAGTCAACTCGGCCACAAGTCAACTAGAGACAGCAAGTCAACTTGGCCACAAGTCATCTCGGCCACAAATCAACTCGGCCACAAGTCAACTCGGCCACAAGTCAACTCGGCCACAAGTCATTTACTGGTACTACATTGTACTAATTGTTATTATTATTGCTGTTACTGTATTATTGTTGTCATTGTTGTTATTATTATTGTTGTTTTTATTACCGTTAGTTTTAATATTAATTATTAGTCTTAGCATTAACATTATATATTGTTCAAATTTTTGCTGATATTATTATTATTA